TTTGAAAATCCAAAATATCTAAACAAGATTATCTCTAAATTCTCAAACCCTTCCCAATATCAATTTCATACAGGAATTGAGATGATGAAAAAAGTCAAACATCTTCTCCATCTAGCTACCAAGACCAATTTTTCCAAAATTGCTACATGGACAAATGGTCGAAGAATTTTTGTTCTTATTTATTATGCTCCATTTGAAGACCTGGAGATTGAAAATGAACCAGAAGCCTTACAACTTCTGAACAACCTCTCTCAAATGAAAGATATTGATCATCTCCAAGAATTATTATACCAGTATCAGGAGGGATGGCAAATGTGAAATAAATCTAGATTTGTTTCTCCTCAATCTTTTAATCCAAAAGCTGAAGAATTGCATAATCTAAAAAATGCCATGATGGGATAAACAGTCCTATTCTAGAAGTATTCCAAGCAAGAAAGAGCCAAGAATAAGTTGATCTGAGCTACTGATGCTACAAAATAATAGCATTAGAATTTTATTTGAAATCTTTGGGTCAAAGTTAGGAAAATAATATCTGTGGACTGGGTAAGGGCCAACTATGGGCATAAGACATATGGTGGAAACCATGAGCATCAGCAGAGTTCATACTAACTCAACTTTCTGCCCAACGCTTATCTTTCAAAGGCCTCCATCATTTTCTTGCATTTCCCTTAAACCTTGCTCAAGTTGCATCGGTTACTTTTATTTCTCTTTATTTACTGTTCTACCAAGTCAATTCAATTAACTAATTTATTGGACAAGGACTTTATTTAATAAATTTGGGAGTGGGGAGCGGGGCATTTAATTCAAAATGCAAAGATTCATCTGTCCTTTGCATAGAGTCGAAATGCACTAACTATGAATCTTTGCAATTACTACATATCCATCCCATGCAAAAGGCCAGAAAAAAATAATAATAACTGACAAAAGTATAGGTTGCTTCTTAGCAAAAGTAATAGCCGTGGGATATTGAGGGGCGATCTTGAAACCCTGAAGGTGCTGCATGGTGTAGAGTAGAGGACTGCTCTTCATTTTCATACTCCACAAAGGCAATACCTGGCTTTGCTTCAATCATACGAACTTCCCTCAAGCATCATGCTAGTTGTCTCATGAGGTAAATTCTGTATGAACAGAATATTGTTTAGATGTAGCCTGCTATTGGGCATTCAGTTTTCCATGATGGAAAGGAGCCTGCACACGTAATCAGACAGAATTTATCCTACAAGGCATAGACAAATAACATGTTGACAAACTCAATTCCCTTGAAAAAAAAACGGCCCAAAGCAGTGCAAAGGCATATCTTATACACTATCTAAGCACTGCAACTATCTTTTTTTTTTTGGTTGAAAAGCACTGCAACTATCAAATGAAAAATACTCCCGCAAATTACCTTTGGACCTCCAGTACTTTGAGAACCTGTTCCATTTGACAATGCAGGTTGTTGTGCTTCCTCGATACGTCGCTTCCTTTCAGCTGAAAATTGCATATCGTATCAAAAGAGTGTCACCAAATAAACAGTTAAACTAAACCAAAAGAAAAGTAGATTACATCTTCGAAGCATATTAGTCAAGAAAACCAAAGAAAAAAGCAAAATTAAAATTCTATGCCCCCAAAAAAGGCATTAACACAGATTGCTTCTTTTCCACTTTTAACAATTTTCTTGTCGAACAGTAAACCCAAAAATTCAAATATCTGGCACCAGGATAGCACCACAAAACTGAAATCCGAAAGGGTAGGTGAGAGAGGGGGGGGGGGGGGGGGGTTGAGACTTGAGCGTTCAGTGTTGAGGAATGGTCTTATAATTATTGAGCTGAACTTCCATTTTCGGAGCCTGTAGCTCTTGATAAATAAATGGGTCAGTGAAGCCCACCTTTATTGGGCTTTTATAGATGAGCCGATGGAAGCAAAGCTTTGGGCATTGCCTGTTTGTCTTTCTAGTTAATCCATTCTCTTTTTGGGGTTTAGGGTCATATGCCCTGCTTACTATAATAATAATCAAATCTTGAGACAGAGATCAACATAAATGAATAAATAAATTATATAGATGACACATAAGTTAGAAAGGGTAAATGCAAATAAATGCGAATAATTGTGATATTCATGATATTGAGATGCGATATGATACATGAATAATATATTATCTTTATTGAAATTAAAAAATTTAAAAAAAACTTTTTTATATTTTCAAAAAAAATAATTTTATAATTCTAATAATTATCTTGGTGTTAATTGTCCCCCTACCCAGAGAAAATATACAAATTAACTTTTTAATTTTGTTATGTAATAATATTAAGTGAATGTATATGTAATACTAATAACATCAAGTAAAAATATTTGACGCTTTATTTTAATTTTGTTATAAATAGTAACAAGAATTACATTTTTTATCTTAAAAATATAGTTTTTGTTAAAATTTCATAATTTCAAAAATATAATTTTAACATTTACTATGTTTTTTTTTTATTTTAAAAATGTGGTATTTGTTAAAATTCTAAATTTTTAAAAATAAAATTTTAATATTCACTACATTTTTTATTTTAGAAACACAATACTTGTTAAAACTATAAATAATAAAAATTACATTTATTTTGTAATTTTAGGGACTAAAAAGGATAATATAATCTGAAAATATAATTAAGAACAAACAAAGTAAAATTTTTACTTTTCATTCGGAATATAAAAAAATTAGGGAAATGAGAGTTTTTTATTCGCCTACCTTTTTTTATACTGTTTAAAATCTTTTAAAATTTCAAAAATCAATAAAATAACTAAATCAAGCTAAAGAATCAAATTATGAAAAAAAAAAAAAAAGCATTCTGGCTAAAAATCGTACTTTTCCATAACCAAATGCCCATAATTAATTCTGAAATTTTCTTTTAACATCAACACCATAGTGAGAATATATCGGTAGTAAAATATATAGGAAGCTCATTGGCATTGTTCTCTCAATTCATTTGCAAGATGTTGACCTCTTCGTTCATGTGCAGGCTGTGGGAATTATTTCACCGCAATATAATTTTACAACTGTCAGATTTTACGCCAAGTCATAGCCAATTGTTTGAATCGAATTTTGAAATCTAGCTAGCTCGATTGGAGGATTTTGTCATCTAACCCGTGCATGATGATTGATGAGCAAAGTTTCTTGATGTTGTTCCCCACGGGACACGCTTAGAATTTGAGTATCTATATATTTTGGAAATATCAAGTTTGAATCATGATACAAGCATGATACTTATATAAGATTTAAAAAAATGAAAGAGCAGGATCTTATTGTGTATTTCAAAAATAATTGTTCTCCTCATGCATGTTTTCTATGATCAGCAGTTACTCCCCAAAAAAATCGTGTTGCAATTAGCATACCTAGTTTCAGCAGCTGGAACGAGCAATGTTAATTAGTTGTATCCCATACCATATATACCTCCCCTCATTAATAAAAGGGGCTGGAATTTGTTGCTTAGCTTGGTTCTATCCCCTTGCGTATGCCAGCCAAAACTACACGTAACTGTTTCGTTCTATCTCCTAATGCCTGCCAACGTATTCAACAAATTCTTCCATAGGCATGCATGTAATATCTATCTCCATGCTGATGAGGAGAAAACAGAATCAGCAAAAGTTCATTGAAATAATGGCAGAAAGAATAGGCACCTAATGTTCAGTAAAGTTGCTGAAGAAACAGAATTTAATCTCCAAGTCAGTTGGAGCTGGCAGCAAGCAAGTAATTAATGTGGGATCATTTGGAATTAGAAGCTTGAAAATTCTAACTTTCATGTTCAGACGAGGAAATTCGTCTGATCATTTTACTATAACCTCTAAATCATCAACTTATAAATGGCACAAGAAAAACGCCCTTCCCAACATCTGTTATATATGGCTAATGAAACCTTTGAAAAAGTGGCAAGCTAAAGAATAAAGAGACCAATACTATGTAGTATTATTCCCTAATTAATCTTTCTGTCTAGCATGAGTATGGTGAATAAATCATGGTTCGTTTTCTTTTAATAATATAGAAGGCTTGGATTTGAATTCGATTCCAAGTTTTTGGTAAATCTAGTTAAATTTACCAATTTTTGTAAATGACTTGAGCATCTCACTCGATATTCAATCATCAAGTACAACTACGACCTAGAGACGACTGTCCCTAGCTAGAAACTATTATTACTTACTGTTAATGCAGTTGTAAAATTAACAGTGATATGAACAAGGAGCGAGAAAGATGGATTGTGCGTAATCTTTTATCCAAATTTTAAGTGTATACGAAATGGACAAGCAAAGACGAGATATATATTGCAAAGAATAGAATGGGATTCTCCACACGGATCCTTCTTAGCCAGCCCTAGCATAAACGAAAGAAAATGCCGTATACTCCGAAATCTTCGTTGCCCTGCATGCATCAAATTGATGACCATAATAAAAGGGAAAGATATTTTTTCTTTAGGATATATATGTATCTATATATATATATATTTGCCTTTATATATGAATATTATAATTAGATATTGATGGATAAACCCCAACTGTATATGAATGGAATTACTACCACATAATCCCTTTCTGCAAACATTTAATTTTTGCCAACATTAATTATAAGAGGGAAAAAAACCCCTTCAAAGATACCCATCCAAATCAAGATTCTTGCCAGACATAAATAAAAGGGTTTTGAAGAATGAGTGCGAAAGAGCATTGAATTTCATTGATCAAGAGTGCAAATTTATACAATGTGCAAGATACATTTTTTGCATAAGGCTAAAATAATAATAAAAAAAAAAACTTCAGTTTTACAATTTTATTTAAATAAATCTTTATTCTTTTATTATATATAAATAAATCCTTAATATTTAATTTACATCCAAATAATCCATTAACTTTAATTTATATCTAAATAAACCTTTAAATTTTTAATTTGTATCTAAATAAGCCTTTAACATAAATCATTCTTTCATTTGAAGGGTTTATTTAGATATAAATCAAAGTATAAAAACTTTTTTAGATACAATAAAAATAAAATTATTTATTTAAGAAAAAAAATAATTTAAGGACTCTTTTTTTAGTATTTTAGCCTTGAATCAACAAACATAAGTTCAGGCATTTTATAATGCTAATTAGCAGGAGTTGATGCTAGTGATGCTGATTTTACAGAGGCTCTGAGGGTTGACTTCACTGGAGTTATTAGGGTGTGATTGCAGATCATTGACCAAGGGTGATGGCTGATTTCTCTGCTTAATTTCCTTGATAAAATATATTGTAAGCAACAAAATTCTTGTCCGGCCATCCATTCCCTTCTTTCAAATAACCTACAACAACAATAAAATTAAAAAAAAAAAAAAAAAAAAAAGACTCCCAAAGAAAAGGAGGGTTATTGTGGAATTGCAAAGCTCCTCCGGAAGCCCTACGAAGCCAGCTTTAATCTCTCTATATAAATCTAAATCGTATCATCACTTCTTTCATCTTTGCCTCTCGATCTCTCTATATCTCGTTTTCCGTCCCTCTTTGTGTGTCCTCTGTTTTATCAACCATGCCTGCTCAAGCTATTCCTGAGAAAATAATTCAGGGAGTCGACTTCCTAGAGAAAAATACCATCTCTCAACTCTCACAAAGAAGGTAACATTTTTTTTTTCTCTTCAAAGGTTTTCTCATTCATATATATATATATATCGATATATATGTATGTGTACTGTCTATCACTTTTAGTCTGTTTTAGACATTGAATGTACTTAAGAAATGTTTACAAAGTCACTGCACGCTTCCACTGTAAGTTGTGGACAAGCAGTCATTTCGTAGAATTCAGTAGCTTAGCTAAATTAATTTGGGGCATTTTCAATGATTACCAATTTTCAGGCTTGAGGAAAAAGTTGCGATTATAACAGGCGGTGCCAGAGGGATTGGAGAGGCCACAGTAAGACTTTTTGTGATGCACGGAGCCAAAGTTGTAATTGCTGATATTGCCGATGCTGCTGGCATTGCTTTAGCTAACTCTTTGGCCCCTTCAGCAGCATATGTACACTGTGATGTAAGCTCAGAGAAGGACATAGAAATGTTGATCAATAAAACAATTTCACTATTTGGCAAACTTGACATTCTGTTCAACAATGCCGGAGTTCTTGGGAATCAATCCAAGAGGAAGAGTATAATTGAATTTGATGCCGATGAGTTTGATCGTGTAATGCAAGTGAATGTCAGAGGAGCCGCGCTTGGAATGAAGCACGCGGCGAAAGTAATGGTGCAAACAAAAAGTGGCTGCATAATTTCCACGGCAAGTGTAGCAGGTTTAATGGGAGGGCTTGGGCCACATACTTACACGGCTTCAAAACATGCCATTATAGGGCTTACAAAGAACACTGCTTGCGAGTTAGGCCGGCATGGCATCAGGGTTAACTGCATTTCTCCCTTTGGGGTGGCCACTTCCATGCTTATTAATGCATGGAGAAGTTGTGAAGTAGATGAGGAATGCACGGATTTGGAAGCAGAGAAGATGGAGGAATATGTGGGAGGATTAGCCAATCTAAAGGGTGTGACTCTAAAAGCTAAAGACGTTGCTGAGGCCGCTCTTTATCTGGCTAGTGTAGAGTCCAAGTACATCAGTGGTCATAACCTTGTCGTGGATGGTGGCTTCACGAGCTCAAAAAATTGTGTAGGCTTGTAGGTGTGACCGTCCATTTTCGTTTCTTTTTTTATTTGATTAGTGATTGTCGAGCAACGCAAGAATGTATATAAAGCAAAGTACAACAAAAATGCTAGTAGTCTTTTTGTATCATTTAATGACCTTTTTCAATGTCACACCCTCTTCAATGATCTCTGCTAGCAAATAGTTCTTACTATCTTCAATCAACACCAATATATTAATACTGTCCAGTCCTCAACCTCGACTCTTTTAGACATTCAAAGAAAGGTCAGGAGGCTCTCCATTAGTATTACTTTTTGGTAGGAATGGAATCAGCATTGGGGCAGCCGTTGCAATTTTTACATTTCTTGTGAACCAATTTGGCTCCCAGTTAGTCTTTTGCTGTGAACACTGAACGCTGCCCTGCCTTGATGAATCGATGGCAGCAAAATTCATTTTCCAAGCTGCAGGGTGCAGCTTAAATGGGAAACAAGAAGTCAGTACATTGAAGCAGATAAAGACAATGATATATGAGTTTATATTTGATATATTATCAGTAAATTATATGTTTTCATATCAATAATGAAAACCCATAAAATTTAATAAGTATTTTAAAATAAATACATAAAATTTTGAAAATTTTTTTTCTCTCTACAATCATTTTAGAAAAAGAGAAGGATTGTGAACTTCGGCTATAGTTGGCTTTTTTTTTTTTCCAGAATCCATATTGTGATTGATGAGGGTTGATCCAGTTGAAAAAATTGAGTGAACTGTCCATGCTTTTGTTTTGAAGAATGAAAATTTTCGATTTCTTTAACTTGCATTAGAGAAGGAATTGGGGGGATAGGATAAAATTGTGTAATTGGCTGCAGGTAATTAATATATTTTTTCAAGAGGGTATCCCCAAAAGTTGCTTGAAGAGGACGACTTTGGTGTTGTGCAGAAGTGATTAATTTTCTTGGACGAAGATAAAAGTAGTGAAGGGAGAAATTAAAAAAAAAAAACTTAAGAGAGTAATTATTCTCGTTGTCAAAAGCAAAACCTATTTTGTAAAATTAAAAATATATATATAAATAAAATTTTATTTATCAAATTAAAAATATGAAACTTTTGGGTATTTATTTTAAAAAATTTATTAATTTTTATATTAATAATACATCAAATATAAAATAATAAAAAATTACAATTTGGACTAATTCGAGAAAACAGGTTAGAAAATTAATTTAAATTATTGTACTTATTGGTTGCCCAAATAAGGCATTCAGCCATTGAAAGTAGCTCAAGCCACTATATTGTTTGACGTACTTTTATCGGGCTTTGGATACACCAATAACCCCCAGCGCAAGATAAATCCAGAAGCTACCAAATCAACCTTGGGCTCCATCGGATCAAAACTGGGCTGTCCATGTCCACATATGTTGAAATTATATCAATGTGAATTACAACACTAGAAGCCCGCCACAGCACAAACTCAGAAGAAGGAGAGTTTACAAACAAAAGGAACAAGGAAAGTATTTTATGCTCCAGTTTCCTGCTATGCCAAAAACGTGTGGTATCTACATTTTAACAAGTCAGAATAAACAAACAAGATTACGTTTTGTGCTCCATTCTCAATATTTAGTTCATGTTCCTGTTGCACTTTATTAATGAGATGAGGACTGACCGAAAGTTTAATTGTCGATGTCCAGGAGAGAATTTTAAAAAGAAAAAGGAAAGAAAGAAAGAGAAGAAGTCATGTTTAGACTGTATATCTTTGGCACTTTTTTTGTCTTTTTTGCGCTTAGCTTGTTATATTATGCAATGAAGTTGTACACCATATTCCATATGGATTATATTTTTATTAGGGACATTTAATGATCAAAATGATATAATTTTTTTTTTCATGTTAGAAGCCTTCAATAAATAATTAGAAGTAATTTTGACATTTATGCTAACTTGACATGTCAGGTCGATCTGACATTTTTAGTGCTACATCAGTTTCGCAATATCTTTATTATCCCCTAATGGTCCCTTATCACTTATCTATAAATATGAAAGTCCAAGCATTATAAAGGTAAGACACACCACTCTATCTTCTCCCCATTACTATCCTTTCGACCTCATCTTTTATGACTTGCGCATTAAAGTACAAACAAAGGGAATACTTTCTGCCTTTACCTCTAACCATTTTTTTTTTTTTATCTTTCCAAGAATACACTGAGACTGGAGTTCAACACAAATATTTGGCACACCACGTAGAGTACTTTTTCCATTTATTAGCCAAGCACAAAGAAATGCCACCAAGGAAGAGAAACTTAGAGGAAGGATAGATGGTCGTCTTGGCAGGAACAAAAACCCATCATAGCCAACATTTCATCCGATTCACCTAACCATAGGCGAGACTGACTATGGAACAATTTCAAACTTTGACCGAATAGATACAGGCTCTTAAGCAAATGTTACAAACCATAACTCTACCACAAGTTTCAAAAGTGCCTAATTTAATCACTCCTGGTCGAGGAGTTGTTGTTAGACAATTGAGTTATGAAGAGGTGGAAGCCTCCTTGGCCTTTAGAGAAGAAAAGCACAACACCTTAGCCCACCGTTATCTCAAGATAAGAAGAAATCTCCATAAAAATTTACTAGGGTGGAATGAAAGTGACAATAGAAACATCAATAGGGGGAAGAGTAAAAGTCGAAAAAAATTGATGTGATCGAGCCTTAGAAAGGAAAACAATCGAATATGAAGGAAGGTTAGCCATAAAAGATGGATCGACTTGAAAAATGGGAAAAAAGTGGTGGATTTTATAGGTTAAAGTTTATTTGAGCACATAGCTCTTTCATGCTCAGGACTCGTTTTTCTCTTACTCAATCATTTTATTCATTTCAACGCTACTCATCCTTGAACATTAGGTTGAACTAAAAGGTCATCTTCTCATAATTTTGATTTTTGATGAATAGTAAAATTAGATCATCATCATCTTGTCCAACCTAACCCCTTTAGGTTTTACCCTATAACTCTTGGCTTCCCCATTTACGCTAGAAAACATAGTTAAGAATACATATAAAAAAAAGTGTAGAAAAACTCTAAGGCCAAAAAGCTTTTAAGATCGAAAAGTTTAGATTGGATTGAGAGCAAAGAAAATAGAAAGGTGGAAAATTAAAGCCCTAACATCCCTTTATATAGCTGTGCGGTAGATTAGAAGAACGGCATAGATCATGCCATGTGTCAAAGTGAAAATGGGCATATGTCCTTTTGTTTTCCCTTTCTAAATTTTTCCACTCAAACTATTTATCTCTTCATTTAATGCTGTCAAACTAACCAAATCTGACAAACCTTAAGTCATATCGATTAGACTGAGGGAACCTTAGCTCAGGTTAAATAACTCTCTGAAACAGACCGAATGCTCAGCTCGTTGCCTAAGGTCAAAGTAAAAACTCAAATTCAAACTCTTAGAATAAAACAAAAGTCTCATGTCGACTAGACGAACTCCACTACTAATCTCAGATCATTTCGAATGATTAACATTTCAATGACCTTTAAACCAACGTTAGCTCAACTCATAACATATCGCAAGATCAAACCCTTACCATATCGAACCACGAATCTAGGCCATTTATCTCCCAATACCAATCCTAATGATGTCGGCTCCAAAGAATCATGTTTCATATCATCTTTCTCTACCTACTTGATCTATGTGGAATGTACTGATCATATGTCAAGTAGTATGATACTCAAACTGCTTGATGAAGGGATAGAATGTTGGGGACACTTAGTAATTAAAAGGGCATAGTAGTCTTTTTTCATATTAAAAGCATTTAGCAAACAATCAAGATTAATTTTGACATTTGCATCAATCTAACATGTCGGTCAGTCTGACATTCTCAATGTCACATCAACTTGACAGTATCTTTATTTTTCTCTAATGGTCCCTAATTACTTATCTATAAATATGAAGTTCCAAGCACCATGAAGGTAAGATACACCACTCCATCTTCTCCTTATTACTCTTTTTCCAACCACATCATTTCTAACTTATACGTTAGAATGCAAACGTAAGAAACACTTCCTGTTTTTGCCTCTAATCACCCTTCTCTTTTGTCTTTTCAGAAATACCTTGAGATCAAAGCTCAGCACAAACAATTTCTACATTATTTCTTGAAATACAATGAATCACGCTTACAAGTTACAACAATTGCCTTGCCAAATTTCCGATTCTATTCCATTGAAAGAAGGTGCTTGTGTTGGATGGATGAAAGGAGTTGAATCCATGGCCCTCCCTGAAGGTACAATGCTGTATGACCTGGTTCAAATGGGAATCAAGTATTAAGCACATGCAGCTGTTGGAGTTATAGTTCGGTTGAGTAAAGAATTATCACTTGTGAAAGATGTGCCTGTGCTTGTCGCAATTGACCAGGTGAACGTCGCATCGCCGTGCTTTATATATATAATCCCCAGCTACATAAATAAACTCTCTTATAACTTCTACTTTTTTGAACAGTTTGAATATTTGGACTGATTTATGTTGTTACGTCTTCAGTATGATAATTGGTTTACGTTCAGTGGGATTTTGATAATTTTTCTTTCCAAATGTCCACCATATATGTGATTCTTTCTGGCTGCTTTATTCGCGAGCGAAGTTGTATTATTAGTTTTATAAGAACTGGCTGTAGAGATCTGCTAGCCATTTAGTCAAATACCAAGATTTTAAGGGTCTTACTCTTACCCGAGCGGCAAACCATAAATGATGGTAATTGCCAACCTCCATTGAACTGGTTAAGACCGAAGGGCATAAGATCATAGAAGAATCTTGCTTAAACCACAAGTCCACAAAGATAAAGGGTATGTGGTTGGAAGAGGCAAAAGTATGCATCTCAACTTACATGCTATGCTGTGCTGTGCATTGAAGCAGGGCAATAACAGGAGTGTTCTTAACCAATCTTAGTATATAAATTTATTAACAGATGTACAACACTATATTAATTAATGTTTCTAAAAAGGTAATATAGTATATATCAAAATCACCGATTTTCTAGACACAAATGAATCTAGATTGCCTTGTGTTGCACCACCAAGAACATAACTGCAGACGACAGTACAAACACCAAGGGTCAAAGCACAGAAATATAAAAATGTATATGAGAGACAATTCTCCACATCTAACAAATAATTAATTAGCCTATTATTGCATCCCCAAAATCATTATTTCTACGATATTTTCTCGATTGAAGCCTAAAAGATATTGCAAAGATTTCGTCTCCTTTAATGAAGACTTCAGAATTTTATCTCACAAAAAATTTTCGTAAAGTTGAAAATGACATTCCGAACTCTTTCTGAGACCGTGACACACATCATCAAGTTTTTTTTTTTTTTTTTTCGACGAGTAAGAAGACGAAACTTTTCGAATAGGCCTATTTCAAATACTAAAAGGGCTTCACGGGTTGCCCAGAACTAACTTTGAAGAGGGAGATCCTTGAAAGAGCCTTACAAAAGGCTTTTGGGCCTAACTCGGTAACCATAGCCAGAATTCCAAACCTACCCTATCCTCCCTTGGTTACATTATTGAAAGCAAGAAAGCTAAGCTTCGGTTCAATTCAGTCCAACTTTAGATTACAAGAAAGGGCATAAGTTAGAAGGGACCCGCATTTATTGGATGCTCATAGGCTAAATAGTTAATACAACTTTGCACAATGCAAAACATAAAATATTTGTTCAAATCCATTCATCATTCCATTCATCATTTTATATTAGGTTCTCAGTATTTGAGCAAGTAAAGTAAAATTATTATAGAAACCATAATTTGTTAGAAACAACCAAACGATTCAGTTAAAAACTTTAAAAGGTAAAGAGGAATAAACCTCTTAGTATTTTATTTTATTTTATTTCTATTACCCTTAAAGAATAATCATTGGACTAACAAGTTCAAAAATAATGCTAGGGTGATTATTACAGCTATAACTAACTACAACTATTTTCAATTCATAATACTCAAAAACTTTATATCGACATCTTTTATTTAGTTTCTCAAAACACATTTTTAAAAAAAATCACTTCAGGCTTGATCTGGGCTATTGGTACCTATTCTGAAAATGTACAAGTATATAAAGACGAGCTGAATGCAGATGGGCAACATAAAAAAACGTGGGAAGTGTAATGATATACATCTCTAGAAAAGAAAACATCAATGTAGTCCATAGAAAAAGAGTAAGGTTTTATTTAAATGGAAGATTTTGTTAATTTTTTTGAGATTAGAAATAATAATAATAATTATTATAATTATAATTAAAAAAATTATAATTATGATTAAAATTTTAATAAAAAATTTATATTACACAAATTTTATTAAAATTAATATTTAAATTTAATTAATAATATAATAAATTTAATCATATCACGTCAAAATATAATTAAATCCAAACTCGGACTAAAACGAGCGTGGGAATGAACCAGCGGGCCAGGGCGAGCTAGAGACAATTATTCTGAATCCCTAAATCACGAAAAGAAAGGAGAAAATGATTAATCAAAAAAATTTTTTAAGCATTGAGCAGAATGTGGGTAGCTATCGATCTGTATCTTCAGTGTGGCAATTACGTCGGACTTTGTGGTACTGGTTTTGGTTAATATGAGCGAGACTTTGATTTAGCTAGGTTGTTATCTTGTCTGCTGAGGCCTGAGGGAACAACATATATATCAAGTACTCACGGGTGGAGAGGTGTGGGGTTGGTGGAGAACGTGGCACGACAGCAGCCAAAGCTTTATGACATCAGCAGCTGGAGACGTAGCAACCACTTGTTTGAATGAATGGCAGAAGTCAATATCAATAGACAAACTCCGTCGCCTGTTGTCTGCGTCTCAATGATCGATGTTGCCACCAATTTACTTATTTATCCCTCCCCTGATTATTGTAGCCACTATACCTACACCATTGTACCAAAAATAAGTGGATATATATATATATGTTGTCGATAAGTAATTGATACTAGTACTGTATTTTAAATAGCTAAGAGGCAGACCACCAATATGTCAATGTCACTTCATCCGCACACTTTATCCTTGAGCCGCCACACCATTCATTCCAATGGAACGTCTTAATTCCTCCGTTCTTCCTTTTTTTTTTTTTTTGGTTTATGCAAAACAAAATTTGTTCAGAGTATGCAACTTTTGTGTCTTCTTGCTATAGCAATTTTGGATAAACCCAGTCATACAAATTGGTTAATAAATTTCAATTGTCAATGACCTAATCGTGTTAAACCCATCTCTCTTACTGAAAACATTATAACAGGAATAAATGCAATTTAAATATTCTTAAATGTAATTTAATTTATTCATTTTTAAAAATAAAATACGAATTGAATTTTTAATATTAAATCAGATTTGAGAGTTTAACTTGAATATTATGATAATAATATATTATTATTGATCAATTAAATTAAAATTTTAAAGATATAAAAAAAAATCTATTTTAGTATATATGTAAAATTTACCAACACATATTGCCATTGTTATGTATTTCTTTTTTTTTTTTTTCCCATTTTCCTTGATTATGCATCTTTCACAATTTATTTAGATCATCAACTTAAAATTTTGCTTCTTGTAAAAGTAAAGTTAAAATTTTGCTTATGAAAGAAGTTTAAGATGAGTACTTAGATGGTCTTTTTTAACCATTAGTGAATAGGTACAAGTCTACTACGCGAGCATTACCACTTATCAACATAGCAGAAGAAAAAGAAAAACACTACCATAACCATTAACCAAAGTGTAAATTAGTAGCAGTAGTAGGAAGAGAAAAGCCTCACTTGATCACTTGTCAAAGTTGCAGGCTTGACTCTTGAGCTAGCCAAGGAAAAGACTCAGCTAACCAGCTACCTTTTTGTCCCGAAGTGGTATTACGTAGAATAATCCATCAAGAAAAGCTATACCCAGAAGTTAGTCATCACTCACCTGATAAGTCACAAGCAAGTAAGAAGGAAAAGAGGATTAAAAGGTAAACTCAAAAGAGCCTATAAGATAATTGAAACAACCAAAAAAAATCTCTATAAGAATAAAACTCTCAATTTAGAAAGACATCCTATTATTCTCTGTATCCATACGTCTGTTGTTTCCCCAACCAGCACGCCTATGGCATTGGCTACTCCTGTGAAGAGCAACAGCAGAATGTCCGTTGCCATGGAGAGGACGGGCCAGTGGTAAAATACTTCACTAAGCCTCCCAACATATACTACGTACTCTGTATGCCAATTATATTACCATATTCAGATTCTTAGTTATCATTTCTGGTTAATATATTTCAGGGTTTTCTCCCAAGAGATACCGACTGATGTTGTAGTTGAAGTTGGTGAAGCCAATTTCAATCTTCATAAGGTATATATAATTACTACTAGCATTTGTTTTTGAAGTTTTTGTGCGTTTGCGTGTCTATAATTATTTAGTGTCAAATTTAGTGATCATCACGGGTAAAAAGTAGAGTAACTAACTGGCATGGGCATGCAGTTCATGCTGGTGGCAAAGAGCAATTACGTAAGAAAGCTGATAATGGAAACAAAAGAATTAGACTTGACAAGAATCAACGTGTCCGACATCCCCGGAGGCCCTGAGATCTTCGAGAAGGCAGCAAAATTCTGCTATGGTGTCAATTTTGATATTACAGTCCATAACGTTGCAGCTCTTCGATGCGCTGCTGAGTATCTCCAAATGACGGACAAATGCTGCGAAAGCAACCTGGCAGGGCGCACTGAAGATTTCCTCTCCCAAGTTGCCCTGTCTAGCCTCTCTGGCGCCGTTGTCGTCCTTAAATCATGCGAAGATCTGCTTCCTATGGCAGAGGAGCTTAAGATTGTTCAAAGATGCATTGATGTTGCGAGTGCCAGGGTGGGCACATATATATATTTATATTCTCTCGTCGGTAACAATATTAGTAGTATTCAATAATTTTACTTACTAAGTAGAATTTTTTATACTGTTATATAGTTAAATGCAACGAATTATTCTACGAAGAACAAGGGTTTGGGAATTGAATTAATTCTGTGGTAGTTGTATGTTTCAAAAACAATATGGATCAAATTATATATCGATTTCCTGAAGGCTTGTAGCGAGGTCAATTTCCCATGCCGTACGCATCCGAACTGGTGGACCGAAGGGCTATCGATCCTCGACGTTGAGTTGTTTGGCAGAATCATTGGCGCAATGAAACAACGGGGCGCAAAAGCTCTAACCCTAGCTAGCGCTCTCATAACTTACGCAGAGAGATGGCTTCGAGATATTGTACGCGATCACTCAGGCAACGGCATCAAGTGCTCCGATCATACCGACTCTGATCTTCGAATCCAACAGCGTGAACTTTTGGAGTCTATAGTGACGCTGTTACCCGCGGAGAAAGCTGCTTTTCCAATCCACTTCTTGTGTTGCCTTCTCCGCTGTGCAATTTTCCTGAAAGCCTCCAGTGCTTGCAGGAACGAGCAGGAGAAACGAATCTCCGTGATCTTGGAGCATGTCATGGTTGATGATCTTTTGGTCTTGTCTTTCACATATGATGGGGAGAGGCTGCTCGATCTGGATAGCGTCAGGAGGATCATCTCTGGATTCGTGGAGAAGGAGAAGAGCATGGCTGTTTTTAACGGCGGCGATTTTAGGGAGGTAAGTTCCTCAGCGATGCAGAGAGTTGCAAAGACTATAGACGCATATCTAGCGGAGATAGCAACCATCGCTGAACCCACCATCTCCATGTTCAACGGGATCGCCAATCTCGTCCCTAAAGGAGCCAGAAAGGTGGAGGATGATCTCTACCGGGCCATTGACATCTATCTCAAGGTTAATTATAATTACTAAACAAATAAATAGCAGCCTGCCCTGATCTTCAATATTTAATCTTTACTAGTAGTAATTAATACTATATACTACCAATTAGTAGTAAATTAACTGTTTATTTTTAATTATGATCATGGTCATAATTAATTACTTTTATATTCGAGGACTAATGATCACCGTTAATATTGGTTGCAAATTGATTAATGCATGCAGGCTCACCCAAATCTGGATGAGATAGATAGAGAGAAGGTATGCAGCTCCATGGATCCCCTGAAGCTGTCTTACGAAGCTCGACTTCATGCTACCCAAAACAAGCGCTTGCCCATGCAGATCGTTTTGCACGCTTTGTACTATGACCAGCTGAAGATAAGGAGTAGTGGTGTGGATGTTCGCAACGCGCCCGATGCCGCCCCGACAAGGAAACAGTTGGAGGCAGACGTGTCGCTCGCAAAGGAGAACAAGGCCTTGCGATTCGAGCTTATGAAGATGAAGATGTAAGACTTGCAGAAGAATAATCAAGCTGGAACTTGTTCAAAGAGAATAGGGACCAGAAAGCCTACCTTCTTCTCGTCCATGTCCAAGACTCTGGGCAAGCGAAACCCCTTTAGACATGATTCCAAGGACACTTCTCATATAGTTGATAGCCTTGGAATGGACGTTACCAAGCCTTGGAATGGACGTTACCAAGCCTAGGAGGCGAAGGTTTTCAATCTCTTAATTAATTGATTAGCTCTTGCTTAATTAGTTAGAGGTGGCTTGTGATGACTCTTATTTATAATAATTTCTGTATTTGTGATGAAACAATCCACAATATTTCTTAATTTTATAGGCTGATGAGTTTGTGTATTTGTCAAACAAGTAGTTGTTTCATAATAGATCAACGATGAGTTGCACGAAAATTTCACAACGTTTTTCTTTCTGGTGAATAAAAACTTCGGAAGCCAATGTGCAGCTAATTCCTCAATTATCTTGATAGCACTAATGAGTGATCCAACGGTTTTAATTAATTACAAAGAAAAATGAAATTAATTTTGACAAATCAGCTTTGTATTGTAGTAGTAACACAACAAGGAAAAGTGAGAATTTTATCAACCCAGAAAAGTATTTTGGATTGTCGTCTATGGTTGTGAGAGATGGAAAGCATGTCTTTAGAGAGCTGAAGCTAGCATTGAAACACGAAGGAAGTGGTGGAATTGAAGAGCATTGTCGCAAAGTGGAGAACAAGTTTTTATTGAAGTCTGTGCTTCACGCAATTCCCTTCCTTCTTAGGAAAATGAATAGCATGATTCGTAACTACCGGTCGAAAGCAGACCGAAAAAATAGGGGGTGAATCTTCTTTACCTGGCCTGCAAATCGGATGAATTTCCCTGGGCCTGCATTTAGATTGGTGTTTGTCAATTTCGACGGATTATGATGGGCCCTAAAGCGGAATTTAGAAAGGGACTAAAAGGTTTTCATTCTTAGACCTACAAAAGCTCACATGTTTTCCAGTGTTAAAAGCATGAAGACCCTACAAACATTTAAAAAAAAAAAAGGCCTTTGGTTATTGGGCCTCGCTAGTCTAAACATATGTCCAACCGGCGATCTCGGGTATCTGTTATAACTTGCAACAACTAAATATATAAAATGTGTGTTCATACATAGTGAGTAGTGACGTCAAGGTATTATTTTATTTTATATATAGATAGAAGAAGAAGATTAATTTCCATGTGAAAGTTAGAGGCAATTAGGAGTATATATAAGTTTTTTGTCTGTGTTGTTCGTTGTTAATTTAGGTTGATACAAATTAACAAAAATAAAACTACTGCAAATTAATGCAGCAGGAATTAAAGAACCAAACTCGAACTGATGAGTGATGAGCTGAGTAAGGGAGGAAGGTAGGAGAATTGTGCGTGTGAATTGGCATTTATTTATATTTTTAATAAAAATAATAATAGCTAGAGCTGGAATTAAATTGCTATGTGTGTGCTTGTATAAATAAATAAAAATATATATATATATAGAGAGAGAGAGAGAGAGAGACACACACACACACACAAACACACAAACACACATAACCACGCCACACCCAGCGGTAGACTATCAAAGCATTTATATTTGTCAACTGGAGGGGTGAACATAGTACAAGTGAAAGATGAAGACTCCCTTGGGATTCATAAGCACCTCCGGTGGAGGCTCAGTTACCAAAAATTTTTGTGCCAATCGCACTATATAATCGTTTGGTTTCAAATGATCAGTGAGAATTTCGTCGGTTATTCACTGGTCCTTTTTGATCCCGTGATCAACCGGTGTTTTTTAATATATTTTTTCTTTTTTAGCCCTTTTTTTTGTATTATAAATATAAAATATCCTTATAATTTAATTTTTTATTTTTTATTGTATTTTGATTTAAAAATTTTATTTGAGGTATTATTATTATTTTATTAATTTTAATTATTTATTAATAAAATTATTATTTAACATTAAATAATTTAGTAATTTTAAAATATTTTTTATTTTTATAAATATAAAATAATTTAAATATATTTATAATTTTTAATCTAATATTTTTAATGATCATTTTTATTTTTTATTTCAATTACTTCACTATTATCATTATTTTTACATTTAAATATATATATATCGTCACTGATTTTAATTTTATTATTATAATAATTAATTTTATTTTTATATTATTTTTAATTTTATTAAAATTAATTTTATCATTCATCCAAATAAATATGAAATTTGTACACATCTAATCTAAATTTGATACTATCATATTATTTATTTATGGTTTAAAGCAAAGTCAGAAAAATGAAAAATGAAAATTAAGCAATTGAGAATATTGAGGAGTGTTAAAGAAATTAAAAAATCCTGGCGGAAAGGACAGGAAGCTCCATCAATTATTCTTATTCTTTGTAATTCTCCATCAAATTATTCTTTTAATTTTTGCCGTAAATATGAAGGACCTACACTACCTAAATTGCTGTGGAATATCGATATCTTTTATTAACCAAATTAATACTAGCCTAGACTAGCCTACTAGTATATTCTGTATATATATTAGAAAATATAGTCCATATGGGTTGTGCATGACCTAATGAACTACCATACCATGTGGCTTCATTTGCTTTAATTGATTAATTATTTATTTACAAACAGAAAGTTCAAAAAGCAATCACAACGAAAAGGTCATACCAAAGACAAGAAATAATTACGAATCATTTATCAATAAGTAGTTAATTTAATCAATTAAATTTATTTTTTTTAATAAAAAAATTTTAGATTCGAATCTTATCAATAATTATTTGTTAAAGTCATTTCGAATACATAACTTACAATCATTAATTTTAAGCTATACATATTTTATCTTGATATAAAAAATTAAATAATTTATTTATCTTAAAATTTTTTTTTACCAAAAAAAAATTACGAATCATTTGATCTTCTAAAGCAATTCATGATTTTTCAACAAGAATTCAAATTCTTAAAATTATTAATGATCATTTTATCTCTATCCAATACAAAATTAATTTTTCTAAGCAGATGAAATATTGCTATATGTTTGCATGCATGGGTCCATGTTAAATTGATCATACACATTTTCCTTTTTCTTTTTGTTTTATAAATTAATAAAATACGTCAAAGTCTATTGACGTAAGAAAAATTTACGAATTTTGGTGAGATATCAAATTATTAACCCACAAAACTTTGATTTTCCTTTTTTTTTTTTTGTTTGTTTGACGAGAATGGAAAAACGGTACTCATCTCCTCGTACTCTAAGAAAAGACCTTTTGTTTAACTTTCCATATTTTATATAAAAGGGGAAGAGATTTGGTAAAGTAAAACTAACTCAGATTTTTTTTTTTTTTTGCCAGAAAACTAACTCAGACTCACATTCATAGGAAACATTTATAAGATGATCCTGCAATTGCATTTGTAACTGCAAGTAAAGCAAAAACATATATGTGGAATATTAGCGGATGTCAGTATGGCACTCAACTCAACGTATTATATTTTGAAAAAAAAAAAAAAAAAGGTGGATGGAAGTGTTCAAACATGATATCATTGCATGCATGCATGCATTGTTACATAGCAGTAACTACATCAGTAATCAAGAGTTTATTTTAATTAATTTATATATTTATTTTTAATATATAATATTTAATATGTTTGAAATTTAAATTTTTAAGAATTACAGTAAAGATTACAAGCAACGGGGATTAAATTTAAAATTTATAAGTAAAATATTTAATCTTTATTAACTTAACCAATCTCATTAGCTTAATATTGCTAACAAGGTAATATGACGTTATATAAGTAAATATATATATTGTTGGGATATAATTCATATGTGAATAAAAAATCTCATATCATTAAAAAATCTGAATGAGATATTTTATATATGCATGAAAGATCAAAGAATCAAATAACTTAAACTTTTTGGCTCAAGTAGTATCCAATATGTTTGTATGGGCTCTCTGGTGTGCTCCCATGGGCTTCAAGTGTGATTTATCTCCCCAACTAGTGGTATTAGAGCCAAAAAGTCAAGGGTTCGAGAAGTTACTAGTTTGAGTCCCAGTAGTGTTGCTGGAGGAAAATTGTTGGCAAATCAAAGGTTGGTCGGTCATGTACTCGAACATTGGTATTAAGGGAGATTGATGGCAGATCGGAGGTTGGCTATGTTTATCAACTCCATGTGTTTGAATATCGGTATTAAAGGTTCGACTTGCATGTAGTAAGTATATGATAATATGCAAAAATAGAACACCTAAGTGGCCGATATGTTGAGTCAACCTGAAGTGTAAGCTTGAAGGAGCAATGAGACAACTTAGGTGGTAAGGTTGAGTGCTGTGACCTGCCTCAAAAGTGCACTAGAGATGTGAGGTTGCTGGTCCCAATAGTGTTGTTGGGGGAAAATTGTTGGCAGATCGAAAGTTGGCCACATCCATCAATTTCATATACTTGAACATTAGTATTAAGGAAGATTGTTGGTAGATAGAAGGTTGGCTGTATCCATCAACTCAATGTGTTTGAATATTAGTATTAAAGGTTCGACTTGAATGTAATGAGTATATGATAATATGATAATATACTTGAACATTAGTATTAAGGAAGATTGTTGGCAGATAGGAGGTTGGCTGTATCCATCAACTCAATGTGTTTGAATATTAGTATTAAAGGTTCAACTTGAATGTAACGAGTATATGATAATATGTAGAAATGAAACACCCAGGTGGGCGATGTGTTGAGTCAATCTAGAGTATAAGCTTGAAAGAGCAATGAGACAACCTAGGTAGCAAGGTTAAGTGCTGTGGCCTGCCCTAAAAGCCCACTAGAGATATGAGGTTGCCTAGCCCAAAGGAAGTGTTGATAGGACTTACTCGCATAGAAGAGCCAAAGTGGGACTTGATTAGAACTCACAAGTGAATGGGGGAGATTGTTAGGATATGGTTTACATATGAGTAAAAAGTCTTATATCATTAGAAAATCTAAATGAGATGTCCTATATATGTATGAAAGACCCAAGAGCCTAATAGCTTAAGCTTTTGGGCTCAAGTGGTGTTCAACATGCTTGTATGGGCTCTCTAGTATGCTCCTATGAGCTCTAAGTGTGATTTATCTTTCTAACATATACCTGGCATACATTAGCATGAAAAATCAATGAATTCATTATTATTTTAATTAAGATAAAATATGATTCTTTTAAGACGGACATGATAAAAAAATTAATTCATCTCATCATGCTATATATGCCAAATACTACATCATCTTAATTAACGACATATTTTTAATTTCGTTATCAAGTTATTTTTAAATCAATTTTTAATAAAAAATATAAAAACCCATTAAAATTGAAATAAAAAGATTAAAATTTTTGAATATAAATAATAAAATGACTAATTTGACCTAAAAATAACCTTTCACTAAGAAGCTTCACATTAGAAGATCAATTTTACAAGCTTGAAACAAAAATTCTACAATTCGCTACCAAGCTAAGAGGATGAATCATTAGGAGATCAATTTTTACGAAAACAATGTCACATCAAATATAGAATAGTACTAATTAATAATTCAAATATTCAAAAAATATTATCATTCTGTTTACTTCTTGTCTTTTCCTTCCCATTATGCTTTAATTTGTCATAAATTTCAATAAATTATCTGCAGCCAGCATGAAAATGAATATATATAATTAATCAAACTCATA